AGAAAATTCATATACCACTTTTTAGGGATTTGAGTTGAGTGAGTTTTCTTGACTCGTTAGCTTCAATTTTTTATGACGATGGTACCTCGATGTCCGTCATATGATGGACGAAAGCTTAGCACCTTTTCACCGGAATCGAAGGAAATTGTGTCAGCATGAAAGCCAATCGACAGCTGGTCGAGCGGAATCGGTCGTCGTCTTCTGTTGCAACCGACCTTAGAATCTCTCCGCGCAACACTTTCACTCGAAATGGAAGTAAGCTCAACAATTATGAAACAAAAGATACCTCGAAACCCAACTTTTCCTCGTCCATTCTGCTTAGCTTATGTCTTATCGGCATCTTTAGCGGGACTCTAATCGCGATTATGCGGATGAAACCTAAACCCGGTCGATGGGAATACCTTTAGAGATGCAAATATTTATGAAATCAAAGGGAAACTTTAGGCCTATTCACATCATCCTTCATCACCTGATCGAACTATGATGGATACATATCATAGACACGATCTACTGGCATGATATTTTCTTTTTTTACGGTTTCGTTGTTCTAATTGCCTCTTAAACCCTGTTCGTGATGAAATATGTTTTGGTATTGTTTTTGCTGCCAATGTTTATCACGACACAAACAGAGAAATATCTACCCATCGCCTCGTGCAGCATGCCCCGACGTTTCCTATTCCGCTTGTGACCACCGACCAAAGGTCCAGCTGCGAGGTTGGCGCCGGTCATTGCTCCTGTCGTCAGGCATGTATGTCCCAAGAAGCCTGCTGCTGCTGGCAGACCACATGTAGACAAGTTGCGCTGCAACCCTAATCCCTGATGAGGAGTCGACCCTAGTTGGCCCTGCTGGAAGGCATGAATCAAGCCCGATGGTGCAGGCGGTGCTGGTGGTGCTGGTGCTGGTGGTGGTGGCGGTGGTTGCGAATGCGTCAGCGACGCTTGGGTTAGTTGCGATGGCAGCGCCATTTGCAGAGATAATGGCAGCGGCTGGGGATGTGACCTGGGCGGATTGGGCAAATGGATGTGGGCAAACGGGGTCTGTGTGAGTGTGTTGAGTTGAGCATGTGAATGACTGTGAACATGAAGATGAGGATGAGTGTGATTGTGATTGTGATTGTGAAACAACGCCGTCGAAGTCTGTATGTCCATCTCGCGAGTCCAATGGTGTGGTTGACTGGTGTGATGAAGGTGGATGTGCTGAGTTGGTGGATGATGGTGGGATGGAGGCAAATGCTGCTGACCCGAAGAGGTGGATTCTGTAGGCAGCGATTGGCCGAGCGATTTGAGTGAATAGCTAGACACAGGTGGGCAGTATGTGGGAAAAGTCTTGTGGAATAGGCTCGGTCTGGGAGGGCCAGTCTCCGGGGGAGAGGAAAGCGGAGGAGCAAAGTGACCGAAGAGGCTGAAGTCCGGCCCGTAGGGGTAGGGCAGATGGGCAAAGTGGCCGGTTGTGGGTGTGTATGAAGTGAGCTGGTGTGCAGTCTGGCTCTGACCGGAAAGATGTGAGCCAGTCAACGAGGATGAGACTGGACAGGAAGTGGATGAAATGGTAGAAGAGGGAGGCTGGAAGTGAAAAGCAAGAGGAAGACATGTTGACGGAAAGACTGGCTGGTTGTGCGAAATGTCCATGCGCATGGCAACAGGTGGCGCCGAGTCGCAGGAAGGCGCCAGAGTTGGTTCCGAGTGGGCGAGTGTGGCGAGACGATTGGGTTGCAGCGGGACGAATGGGAAGCCGGGGCTGACGAGAGGTGGTGACGATTTGGGCGACAGTGAGGCTGACGAGAAAGATGATGAGGAGGTAGAAGAGGAGGTGGAGATGGACGAGATTAATCGGTTGGTGGGCATGCAGAGATGTCGGAGGGCATCTGTTGCCACGGGAAACGCGGTACCAGAGGGGGGAGGGAGAAGGGAGGAGGGCAGAAGTGGCGGCTTTGCGGGAGGAGGCAAACAGGCAAGCGAGTTGACGGTGGTGATGTCTTCTTCGGCGGGAAATTGGATGGTTGGCGGTAGGGATGCCGTCTCAAAGAGAGACGACTTTGTACCGGCTGTGCTGCAAAAAGCTGCGGATGGAGGATCCAGTTGAGGCTGGACCTGTCGCATGACCGAGCGAGGCTGAAAGGGTAGTGGGAAGATGGGCTCAAACTGATCGGGAGACGGTTGTGTGAGCTGTTAAAGATGGGAATTTGAATATAATAAAGAAATTACGTGAAAGTTATGCTGAAATGTTAGAAAACAAATACGATATTCAGAAAGTTTGATAGCGGTTTCCATGAGAATCTGAACTCATCCTCATCACGAGTGTGATTTGCTTTTGCGTTCCCAGCAACATGTGAATTGGTCATATTGGAAAAGAGAATGAATATCATAAAAATTAACGTAAAAACTTGATGATTCTATTTGGTGGGAATATGATTGAAAATTATAAGCAATTCCTGATTGAGAAATTTGTCAGCCCATCTCGACATAC